TTTTTTTTTTTTTTTTTTTTTAGTTGTTGGAGTCTCGAACCCGCAGTGCTGAGATTACAGAGGTGAGCCACCATATCTCACCTAAAACATGCTTTAAAAGAAGAAAATTGATTCTGTCTACCTTAGTTTGATTTAGGACTCATTGGTACCTTTTCCAGGCATGGTGCATTTTGAGTTAAATCTCACATGGTAGAATAAAAGGTTTCATCCCACATTAAGAAAGTCTAATATCCTCTCTACAATAAATCAAAAAATCAGCCGGGCGTGGTAGCGCATGCCTGTAATTCCGGCTACTTGGAAGGCTGAGGCGGAAGGATCGCCGGACCCCAGCAGGTCAAGGCTGTGGTGGCCGGGAGCGGCTACTGCACTCCAGTCTGGGCGACAGAGTGAGAGTCCAACTCAAAAAATAAATAAATAAATAAATAAATAAAATTAGTCAGGTGTGGTGGTGTGCACTTGTGGTTCCAGCTACTTGGAAGGCTGAGGCAGAAGAATCACCAGAGCCTAGCAGGTCAAGACTGCGGTGACCGTGAGCGTGCCACTGTACTCCAGCCTGTGAAACTCTGATGCAAAAAAAAAAAGGTAGCTGGGTGTGATGGCGTTTGCCTGTTGTCCTAGCTATTTGGGAGGCTGAGGCAGAAGAATGGCTTGAGCCCTGAAGTCTGAGGCTGCAGTGAGCTATAATCATGCCACTGCTCTCCAGAATGAGACCCTGGTTCAAAAAAAATAAAGTAAAAGCATGTTTTTTTTCAAAGTATGTTTTAATAGGAACTAAGAAGAATATGAGTTCATCTTGTTTTGCCTTTTGTTTTAAGTTTTGAAGAGCACGGGCATATGCGCTTTGCTGTCAAAACGGGTAGAGAGGCGAGTAATTGTACAGACTAGAGGCCAGTCACCCGCCACTCTGGTGGGCTGTGTAAGGAGTCCTCCCTGATTCCTCTGTCTTCATACCCTTAAAATTTCAGAGCTTCTGCTTAATTTAACCTGGCAGGTAGCTACAGTATTGATTTTGAGGTGAAAAATAAAAAGCCCAGGCTGGGCACAATGGCTCACGCCTATAATCCCAGCACTTTGGGAGCCAAAGTGCGAAGATTACTTGAGTCCAGGAGTTCAAGACAACATCTCTGTGAAAAATTTAAAAATTAGCTGGGTGTGGTGGCACATGACTGCAGTCCCACCCAGCTACTTGGGAGGTTGAGGCAGGAGAACTGCCTGCGCCCTGGAAGTCAAGGTTGTGGTGAGCCATGATCATGTCACTGCACTCCAGCCTGAGTAACAGAGTCAAATCCTGACTTGTGGGCGGGGCTCGGTGGCTCACCCTGTAACCCCAGTACTTTGGGAGGCTGAGGCGAGTGGATTGCCTGAGCCCGCAGGTTCGAGACCAGCCCAGGCAACTTGGCGAGACCTCATCTTTACAATAAGAAAATTAGCTGGGCCTGGTAGCAAGCGCCTGTAGTTCTGGCTACTTAGGCAGAAGGATCTCCGGAGCCAAGCAGGTCAATGCTAGGGTGGCCTGAGTGTGCCACTGCCCTCCATCCTGGGCAACAGAGAGAGATTCTAGCTCAAAAAAAAAAAAAAGAAAAAGAAAAAAAAAAAAAAGGAATCCCGACTCACAATAATAACACAAATAATAAAAAGCACAGACAACACAACCCCTAGATCATACATGAACAAGACGCCGGCGTGGATGAGCCCTGGAGTCGGTTGCAGACATCCGTCGCCTACTAATCCGCCCTGGCGATGATCAGAACCGTCATCACGAGCACCATGATGAAAAACACCCACATGAAGAACCGGTCGATGACCTTGGCCACCTTCTTCCACTCGCTGCCCTTGGAGTGGGCGGCCCTGTGGTCCTTGAGGCACTTGGCGATGTACGCGATGTTCCTGGCCAGCGCCGCGTACCGTGCACAGTCCCCGCCGTCAGCCTTGGAGTGGCAGCCCCGCTCGCTCTTGGAGAGTCCGCTCACGTCCTCCCCTCTGGAAAGGTCTTTGTTCCTGACCGTCTTCAGGCGAGACTCCGGGAGGGGGCAATAAACCTCCGTGAGGTGGTCCTGCTCCCTGTGGCGGCGTGGGCGGAGGCAGCTGTCCCCGACGTCGTAGACAAACAGGAGCCGGGACATGTACTTCAGAATGACCACCCTGGCCCAGCGCGGCACCGGCCGGGCCTCGGCGCCGCAGAAGTGGATGTTCATCACCATGATGGTCAGGGCGGTGGAAGCTGTGATGAGAGCCATGGTGGCTATGTAGTATTTACCTAGAGTCAAAGCGACAGCAACGGCCAGATTAGCTCTGACTGTCCCCATTCAGCCGTGCGTCACTTAACGAGGGGGGGGCGCATGCAGAGAAAGGCGATTTCGTGGTTGCGCACGGAGTGCGCCTCCGCACACCTAGTTGGTACAGTCTGCGCCACACCGGGCCGGGGCGGTCTAGCCTGCTGCCCCCAGGCTACACACCTGCATGGCACGTGACCACTCCAAGGCCTGAGGACAGCTGTAACCCAGTGAGAAGTATTTGTGTATTTAAACAGAAAAGATGCGGTAAAAATATGATGTTGTCATCTTATGGGACCAGCGTTGCATAGGTAGTCTGGGTCATCGAGCAAAACGCTGCTAGGTGACACAGGGCTGTATTTGGCTTAAAAAGAAAGAAACAGGCTGGGCATGGTGGCTCAGGACTTTGGGAAGCTGAGGAGAGAGGATTGCCTGAGCCCAGGGGTTCAAGATCACCTTGGGCTACTTGGAAGGCTGAGGAGGAAGAATCGCCTGAGCCCAGCAGGTTGAGGCTACAGTGGCCGTGAATGTGCCACTGTACTCCAGCCTGGGCGACAGTGAGACTCCAACTCAAAAAATAAAATAAAATAAACACCCAGGCTGGAGTGCAGTGATACAGTCACAGCTCACTGCAGCCTCAACCTCCTGGGTTCAGGTAATTCTCCCACCTCAGCCTCCTGAGTAACTGGGACATACCACCATGCCTGGATAATTTTTGCATTTTTTTAATAAAGACAAGGTCTCGCTATGTTGCCCAGACTAGTGTCGAACTCCTGGGCTCAAGCAATCCTCCCAAATCCACCTTGGGTCTTCCAAAATGTTGGGGTTACAGGCATGAGCCACCATACCTGGCCACACACATTTTCTAAGTGGTGACTAATATACTCCCATGAGTAGACTAGTACAACCCTAATGGTTACTAGTGTAGACCTTTGAATCCGACTTCCTTGGATCCAGTCCCAGCTTTGACACTCACTAGACTTGGGACCTCAAGAGAAGTATATAATTGTGCTAAGCCTCAGCTTCCTGTCCTATACAGTGGGTGCAGTCATGGTATCTAAGTCACAGGAATAAGGGGAAGCTTAACTGAGATGTTACACACACAGTTCCCAGCACTGTCCTTGGTTCAGAGTTAAAAGGTTTGGAAGTGTTTGCTGAAATCACAATGTGGAAAACTTTTCCATTCTCAACAATTCATGAACTTAACCAGTTCTCAGAATTGGCTTCAGACCTCATTAAAATAGAAGCCACTTACTGTAGAGTAAGAAAGGAGAAATGGTATTGAAAATGTGATCATAAGCCAGGCTCAGTGGCTCAGCCTGTAATCCCGCACCTTGGGAGGCTGAGGTGAGTGGATTGTCTGAGTCCGCGGGTTCGAGACCTGCCTGGGCAACTGGGCGAGACCTCATCTCTACAATAAATCAAAAATCAGCGGGCGTGGTAGTGCACGCCTGTAATTCCGCCTACTCGGAAGGCTGAGGTGGAAGGATCACCGGAGCCCAGTGGGTCAAGGCTGCAGTGGCCAGGAGCGGCCACTGTGCACTCCAGTCTGGGTGACAGAGTGAGACTCCAATTCAAAAAAAAAGAAAAGAAAAAGAAAATGTGATCATAGATTGGGCACGGTGGCTCACACCTGTAATCCCAGCACTTTGGGGAAGTTGAGGCAGGAGGATTAATTGAGTCCTGGAGTTCGAAACCAGACTTGGCAAAACAGCAAGATCTTGTCTTTACCAAAAAATCCAAAAAATTAGCCAGACGTGGTGACAACTATAGTCCCAGTTACTCCAGAAGCTGAGGCAGGAGGATTTCCTGAGCCCAGCAGGTCAAGGCTGTGGTGAGCCAAAGTCATGTTACTACACTCCATCCTAAGCAACAGAGTGAGATCCTGACTCAAAATATATATATATGATAAAAGAATCCTATTTCAAAAGTGCTGTTAAAAAAAAGAAAATTCAGATTAATATCTGTCGCCTAGATTGGAGTACAGTGGAACGCTCCTGGCCACTGCAGCCTCAGCCTGCTGGACTCTGGCTATCGCTCCGCCTTAGCCTTCCAAGTAGCTGGAACTACAGGCATGTGCTACCAGACCCGGCTAATTTTTTTTATTTATTGTAGGGATGAGGTCTCGCCAAGTTGCCCAGATGGGTCTCGAACCCATGGGATCAGGCAATCCACTCACCTCAGCCTCCCAAAGGCGTGGGATTACAGGCTGAGCCACTGAGCCCAGCTTCTATTTATTTTTGAGCCAGAGTCTCACTCTGTTGCCCAGGCTGAAATGCAGTGGCACGATCACAGCTCACTGCAGCGCCAACCTCCTGGGTTCAGGTGATCCTTCTGCCTCAGCATTCCAAGTGGCTGGGACCACAAGTGGATACCACCATGCCTGGGTAATTTTTTTTACTTTTCTATAGAGACAAGGTCTAGCTCTGTTGTCCAGACTGGTCTTGTACTCCTGGGCTCAAGTGATCCTCCTGCTTCGGCCTCCCAAAGTCCTGGGAATACAGGCGTGAGCCACTGTGCCTGGCCAGAATCTGCATTTTAAAATAAGCTTCCTACTAGCATACCCTGGAAAGGTGAGGATGATTCTGTTAAGGTAGATCTCAGGTTTAAAAGTCCAGCCTGTCTCCTATCATGTTTGCCACTCTTCCCGAGAACAAAGGCCTTGAGACAGGAGACGATACTAATAGCCACTGTATACTCAGTACTTGTTCTGTGCCTGGTTCTGCACCAAGCAATGACACAGAAGGTATCAATTACACAAATGTTGCAGAAGATGAAGCAGAGATCAGAGGCTCAGTAACTTGCCCAAATCTGATCAAGAATGATGTCTTGTGTCTGCCGTTGGCGGGTGTGGTGGTGCCCACCTGTGGTCTCAGCTACTGGGGGTGCAGAGGCAGAAGGATCACCTGAGCCCAGGAGGTCGAGGTTGCAGTGAGCCATGGTCATGCCACTGCACCCTAGTCTGGACCACAGAGTGAGACCTTGACTCAAAAATTAATAGAGCATTCAAATGCTGGTTTCTCTGACCTCAGCATCAGAACCTTCACCACTAGGTCAGTGGTTTTCAGACTTGAACAGAAAGTGCATCAGAATTGCCCAGAAGGTTTGTGAAAACAGAGGGCCAGACCTCTTTTCCAGGGCTCCTAGGTCTGTAGGTAGGGGGGCCTGAGCATCTACGTGTCTGGAAGTTCCCAGACACCGATGCTGTGGACCGAAGGACCGCCATTCGAGAACCACTGCCCTCAACTAGAATGCTGTCCATTGCTCTTCTGTGTAAACCCAGAGACCACAAGACCAGCTTTGATCCCAACCACCCTGTCTATGTTCAAAGACGCCAACTGCACACACCAAGAATCATGAGACAGCCTATATCGAGTCTAAAGTTGGCCACCTTGGCCAGGTGCGGTAGCTCAGCCTGTCATCCCAGCACTTTGGGAGGCCCAGGCGAGAGGATTGCCTGAGCCCGGGTCGAGACCAGCCTAGACAACTTGGCGAGACCTCGTTTCTACAATACATTTTTTTAAAAATTAGCCAGGTGTGGTAGCGCACACCTGTAGTTCCGGCTACTTGGAAGGCAGAGTCAGAAGGATCACCTGAGCCCAGCAGGTGGACACAGGTGGTCATGAGCATGCCACTGCACTCCAGCCTGGACGACAGAGTGAGACTCCTACTCAAAATAATATAAAATAAAAATAAAAATAAAGTTGGCTGCTTTGTGACAAGTTCAAAGGCACACACACACCCTCAAAGGCACAAGGCCAGTCGCGATGAAGCTTGAAGTGTAAAATACTTGAACTCACCTATCAGAGGGACGTTTTCAGAGGCTGGCATGATCTCCGCCACCATGAGCTGGAACACGGTCATGGCCAACAGGATGGTCACTCCCAGGGAGACCTTTTCCCCAGAGGCTGCTGGGAGGTAGAAGCTCAAGGGGGCCAGGAAGGAGATGAGGACACAGGGGACGAGGAGGTTGACGATGTAGAACGCGGACCTCCTCTTCAGCAGGAGCGTGAAGGTCACGTCCGGGTAGGGCTCGGAGCAGCAGCCATAGGAGATGACGTTCTTCACGGCGGGCATGCCGCGGACCTCCCACTCCACGTCCTCAATGAAGTCCGAGAGGTCGCCGCTGTCCAGCGCGTTGAACAGGTCCACCTGATTGCCGTTGTAGGTCCAGGACCCAAAGGTCAGGTTGCACTGCTGGCTGTCGAAGGGAAAGTAGGTGACGTCCACCACGCAGGAGCTCTTGGTGATGGCCGGGGCATCCCAGGTGATCAGGCCATCGTAGCGCAGGACCACGTTGGTGTTCACGGGCTCGGAAGACTCGTCGTCAGCCCTGGAGGCCAGACAAGGACAGTGAGAGCCATACCCCGAGAGGACTCACCACCGTCCTTCCCTCAGACAGCTCATGGCCCCGCACGCGTCATGGCAGTGTCTTTGGCGGTGATGCGCCATTTTCCCTGTCACTGTGGAATCAACTTGGATTCGCCCTTCTCCTCAGCTCCTGTTGCTAGTCAGGGCCAAGTTCTCTTGAATCTTAAAACAACACACATCTAGCTTTTCGACAACTCAGAGGCCAAAAGTCCTAAGATCACCGCATAGCAGGGCCACGTGCCCTCTGGAGGCTTTGGGGGTGGTCATAAGTCTGCCTTCTCCAGCTTCTAGAAGCCACCGTCTCCCTCATCTCAGGGCCCCTCCCTGCAGCACTAACCTCTCCTCGCTCATGGCATCCCCTGTCCTGATCCTCCTCTTCCCTCTTCTGAGGACCCTTGTGTCTAGGTGAGGCCCACCAGGATGCTCCAGGTTCCTCCTCCTGTCTCAAACCTGTCATCACATCTGCAAGGACTCTTTTTCCACAGGAGACAACGTTCACAGGCTGTGGGCATTCGGATGGGGGCATCTCGGGGGGTCATTGTCTGTAAAGCCCCAGCCCTTCACAGATGCATCCTACCTATGCAGAACCTATCATTTCTTGTCTCCCCTTTCCTATGCTTCTCATGTTCACGTTCTCAACTAGAATATTAAAAAAATGACCGGGACAGCATTTACACTGATGCTCAGGAATCGTCTGACCCTCACAGCATAGTTACATGTTTCTCCCTTGCACTCCCGTTCCTTGGCCTCTTCTTGGTCCTTGGGTGACTCCCTCTACTACCCCCCACCCCCTTGAGCTGGCCTTCGCGGTTTTACACTTGAGCCAAGGCGCCTTTCCCGGCTGGGGTTGTAAGAAGCCCACCCCTGGAGACTGGGGAGGAGCAAGCTGGTGAAGGACCTGACCCTGACCCTGACCCTCACCCTCACCCCGAGCATGGCCAGGGGCCGCCCTCACCAGAACACACCCAGAAACTCAGCCTAGTCTCATCGGTCCATCCCGTCCTCTCCTCTCCAGGGTCTTTCATGGGACATCTCCAATGTCCTTTCCTTCTCGTCCTTACCAAGAAGCCCCCTGCCCTCTGTGCATGGCTGACTGTGCCTCCTGGGCTGGGATTCTCTCTTCTCTGCCTCCCACTTGGTCCCCCTTGGTGCCTCTTACTCTGGGGCCCCCTGGACCCCTCCCACCCTCTCACCTCCTTCTCACCCCTGAACTGTTCTCAGGGTAACTGACATCTGTGTGGCCACGTCCATCTTGCCTCCATTTTCGACGCCGGCATGGCACACCCGAAGCCTCTCCTGAGTCCGCCCTGCGCCAATCCTTCAAGTGCTTCACCTGGGGGCTGTTTCTGGACACTCTTCCCCCCAGGTTTGCACAAACAGCTACCTCTCGGTTCCCCTTCTGTCTCTTGAACCACGATGTCCAAGACTCTTCCACAAAGGCCTGGATGGTAGAGGCCTCCCCAGCCTCACCCTTGGTCACCTTCCTTCCTCCCAGAAGGAGTTCTACCAGGCTGAGGCTTCACCACCTCCAGCCCAGACTCTCTTTCCAGATTTTGGACATACCTTTGGCATCTCCTGAGCTCATGCCTATAATCCCAGCACTTTGGGAGGTGGTGGCAAGAGGATTGCCTGAGCCCACAGGTTCGAGACCAGCCTGGGTGACTTGGCGAGATCTCATCTCTACAACAGATCAAAAAATTAGCCAGGCGTGGTAGCGCACACCTGGAGTTCCAGTAACTTGGAAGCCTGAGGCAGAAGATTGAGGCTGCAGTGGCCGTGAGCGTGCCACTGCACTCCAGCCTGGGTGAGAGAGTGAGACTCTGACTAAAAAAAAAAAAAAAGACACCAAATTCTTTCTCCAAACCTGTTCCTCCTCTCACTCCTTCATTTCCAGTCTTCTCTAGAAATCCTGCCACCCTCTAAGTCATCTAGCTGACCTTAAAGCTAAATTCTAGACAAATTTTTATGAATACAGCAGGGCATTCAATGCCTAGGTTTAAAATCCAGTCAGTAAAACTTTGCCATAACACATGCAAATTCATAATGTCTGTAAACTACTCTTATCTTCTTCTTATTTTTATTATTATTTGAATCGGGATCTCACTTTGTCGCCCAGGCTGGAGTGCAATGGCAAAATTATGGCTCCCCGCAGCCTCAGCCTCCTGGGCTCAGGCGATCCTTCTGCCTCAGCCTCCTGAGAGGCTGGGACTATAGGCACGTGCGACCATGCCCGGCTAAACTTTTTTATTTAATTGTAGAGACAAGGTTTCACTGTGTTGCCCAGGCTGGCCTCAAACTCCCAGCCTTAAGCAATTCTCCCGCCTCAGCCTCCCAAAATGCTAGCCTTTCAGGTGTGAGCCACTGCACCCGGCCAGTTGGCTGCTCTTTCCCTAATCTGTGTATGTCAGGAAGCCTTGCAGCCTCTACACTAACCACTGTACTAACCAAAGACTCATAGTAAACATTCTCTCCAGAACATTGAGCCCTATTCATTTACTTTTTTTTTTGAGGAGGAGGAGGAGGAGTCTTACTCTGTCGCCTGGGTTGGAGTGCAGTGACACGCTCACAGCCACCGCAGACTCTACCTGCTGAGCTCAGATGATCCTTCCACCTCAGCCTTCCAAGTAGCTGGAACTACAGGCACGCACTACCATGCCTGGCTAATTTTTTGATTTATCGTAGAGATGAGGTCTTGCCACGTTGCCCAAGCTGGTCTTGAATCTGTGGGCTCAGGCAATCCTCTCACCTCAGCCTCCCAAGGTGCTGGGATTATAGGCGTGAACTACCGTGCCCAGCTTTCATTTACTTTTTCAATGATTTGCTAACAAAGCTACTATATCGCTAAGGAGGTCACCGCCTCTTGGGACGATTCATCGGCTAAAGTGAATGAGGGAACATTCTTTTTTGAGGAGAATTCGTCTTCCCTTCAGCTTCTATGCATGGTCTTAGGTTCTGTTCTTGGGAGTAATGTTCTCTCTTTCTGATACCTCCTTTTCTCTGTGATGGCCTAAGGCAGCCACCAAGTCTGCCCAAGATCTCCTCTCGTCTAAACGAAGCATCAACAAAGTCAACTGTCCCTAGCCGGGCTCGGTGGCTCAGCCTGTAATCCCATGCCTTTGGGAGGCTGAGGTGAGTGGATTGCCTGAGCCCGTGGTTCGAGACCCCCCTGGGCAGCGAGACCTCATCTCTACAATAAATCAAAAAATCAGCTGGGCGTGGTAGCGCATGCCTGTAATTCCGGCTACTCGGAAGGCTAAGGTAGAAGGATCGCCGGAGTCCAGCAGGTGAGTCTGCAGTGGCCAGGAGCGGCCACTGCATTCCAGTCTAGGCGACCGAATGAGACTCCAACTCAAAAAAAAAAAAAAACTCAACTGTCCCTCACGTGAAGCGCTTCCAGGTCATCGCCTTCCTGGCTACTCCCTGACAAGTTTAGCCTTGTGAATTAAGTCATCAATGTCAATGGTGGCTCTGGACACTAAGAATCTTCCTGCCCAAAGTATCTTTTTTTTTTTTTTAGTTGGAATCTCACCCTGTGGCCCAGGCTGGAGTACAGTGGCACAACCTGGGCTCAGGCAATCCTTCTGCCTCAACTTTCTGAGTAGCTGGGGGACTATAGGTGCACACCACCACACCTGACTAATTTTATTTATTTTTTGGTAGAGACAAGGTCTCGCTATGTTGCCCAGTCTAGTAAAGTATCTAGACTAGACTGAATCACCCACTAGACTGAATCACTCACTCTATGCCCCTCTTTCCTCTTCCAGCCACCACTCAGAAAGCCCATTCCGTGGTTTGCAATGTTTCATATCCGTTTCTGAGAAGTGGCGATACTGCCTCCGGCATTAGAAGATTCCACAGGGCCAGGAATGCAGCCAGAAGGACTGGTCTCAGGGACACATTCATGACCAGGGACCCGACCTGCTTGATCCTACAACTCTCTCCTATTTTCATTTTAATTGGTTAAAGGAATACAAACATCCATCATTCAGCCATAGCTACGTTTAGGTTCAGAGGTTCCGCTAAATGGCATAACTGAGAAGTTTTACAGAGAAGTAGAGGGAAAACAGAGAATCCGAACTGTCCGTGACAAGATGGCTGAGAAGACTCAAGAGTTAACCAGAGGAACAGTAAAGAGTTGATTAATCAGTGTGGTGAAACTTGCCATGACCCTGTTCTCAAATAAAGTCACTTACTGAGTGTTGGGGGTTGAGACTTCAATATACTAATTTTTTTTTTTTTTTTGGAGTCGGAGTCTCACTCTGTCGCCCAGACTGGAGTGCAGTGGCCACTCCCAGCCACCGCAGCCTCGACCTGCTGGGCTCCAGCGATCCTTCTGCCTCAGCCTTCCAAGTAGCTGGAACTACAGGTACGTGCTACCATGCCCGGCTAATTTTTTTGATTTATTGTAGAGATGAGGTCTCGCCAAGTTGCCCAGGCCTCGCCAAGTTGCCCAGGCAGGTCTCGAACCCGTGGGCTCAGGCAATCCACTCACCTCAGCCTTCCAAGGCGCGGGATTACAGGCTGAGCCACCAAGCCCGGCTATTATATGAATTTTTCAAGGACACAAGCCAAATACAACTCAACAGGGACCCTCGTTGTCCAAGATCACATATCAATAATAGTCAGGCTGAGTGTGGTGTCTCATATCTGTAGTCAGCACTTTGGGAGAACGAGGTGGGAAGCCAAGAACTGCATGAGAAAAAGGCAGAGAACAGAGCTCGCAGGACATCTCCAGGCCAGTGATGAGGTGGGGGAAGGAGGGAGTGTGAGGACAGAATTTTCTTTTTCTTTCTTTTTTATTTTTATTTTTTTGTGTCAGAGTCTCACTCTGTCGCCCAGGCTGGAGTGCAGGGCCATAATCATGGCCACCATAGCCTCCACCTGCTGGCCTCAGGTGATCCTTCTGCCTCAGCCTCCCAAGTAGCTGGAACCACAGGCGTGTGCCACCACGCTAGGCTAATTTTTAAAAAATTTATTGTTATAGAGATGAGATCTCACCATGTTGGCCAGGCTGGTCTCAAAGTGGGTTCAGGCAGTCCTCTCTCCTCCGCCTCCCAAAGTGCTGGGATTACAGGTGTGAACCACGATGCCCAGCCAGAATTTTCCAAAGCCACTGTGGGTTGTGTGAGCTCGTTAGCACAGGACTGGCATCTGGTGAGAGGTACTGGGGTGGGCTTAGCATGAATGGCTGTGCTCCTTGCAGAGAAGCATTTCAGAAGGAGTTGGTCATGCCTCGGCCATCAAGGCAGGAGGGAGTGGAGAACCACCATTCTCTCGATTTTCCAGGCAGACTTGGTGGAACACACAGAATGCCATGGGAGCTGGGCTGTGTCAATTGAGTCCTCAGATGCTGCTCTCCTCACTCTGTGGTGGGAGGGTGGTGATAGAATGCGGCTTGTTCTCTTGCTCTGGGTGTGTGTGTGTGTGTGTGTGTGTGTGTGTGTGTGTGTGTGTGTGTGTATGAGAGAGAGAGAGAGAGAGAGAGAGAGAGAGAGAAAGAGAGAGAATGCGGGGGCGTGAACTGGAGTAAAAGAATACCAGTGGCCAGGCATGGTGCTCACATCAGTAATCCCAGCACTTTGGGAGGCCGTGAGAGGATTGCTTGAGCCCAGGAGTTCAAGACCAGCCTGGGCAACATAGTGAGCCCTCATCTCAAATAATACAAAAAATTAGCCAGGCATGGTGGTGTCTACCTAATCAGGAGGCTGAGATGGGAAGATCGCCTGAACCAGGAGGTCGAGGCTGCAGTGTTCCCTGATTGTGGGTGACAGAGACTCCAACTTAAAAAAGAAAAATTTTTAAAAAGGACACCAGTACTTGAATGTTATCTCCCTCGGGACAGGATAGGGAAGACTCCTCCAGTCACTCCAAGTGGGGACCGGACAGCGAATCAGGGCTACGAACCAGGAGGTCATGACCTTGGAGGGGCTCCCTGGGTGAGGAGGGAACCAGTTCCAGGCTGCAACCCCCCCACCCCCAGCAGGCCCCTGTGGCCTCCTTAAGGGAAATTCATGCCTGATTGGGAGGCTCCACCAAGGGACCCCTCCAGCTGCCCCACCACATTGTTCTGAGCCACAGCGGAAGCTCTCCCAACCCACGGAACTTGTTGGGCCCCAGAATAAAGAGAGAGACAAGGCTGGGCTCGATGGCTCAACCTGTAATCCCACGCCTTTGGGAGGCTTAGGTGAGTGGACTGCCTGAGTCCGCGGGTTTGAGACCCGCCTGGGCAACTTGGCAAGACCTTATCTCTACAATAAATCAAAAATTAGCTGGGTGTGGTAGCGCGTGCCTGTAGTTCCAGCTCCTCGGAAGGCTGAGGCGGAAGAATGGCCGGAGCCCAGCAGGTCGAGGCTGCGGTGGCCGGGAGTGGCCACTGCACTCCAGTCTGGGCGACAGAGTGAGACTCCAACTCAAAAAAAAAAAAAAGAGAGAGAGACGCTCCTTTGACAACAGCCGAAGTCCCTGAATTGAGGTGACAGATCTGGCTCCTCTCCCAAAGTGTGACCCATGACCAGCAGGGCCCATGGCCCAGGAGCCTGTGTGAGTGCAGGGCGTCGGGCCACCCCAGGCCTGCTGAACCAGGCCCTGCCATCTGGGTCAGCCTCCAGGCCACACAAAGCCCCAAATCCATAGGCTGGCAGTTAGATGGCCCATTCCAACATAATTCATTTTTTTTAAGTCGAAGTCCCAGGATGGGGTGCCATGGCACGACCATGGCTCACTGCAGCCTCAGACTCCTGAGCTCAAGCAGTCCTCCCACCTCAGCCTCCCAAGTAGCTGGGACTATAGGTGTACATCACTATGCCTGGCTAATTAAAAAAAAAAAATTGGTCAGGCATGGTGGCTCATGCCTATAATCCCAGCACTTTGGGAAGCCGAGTTGAGAGGATTGCTTGAACCCAAGAGTTCGATACCAACCTGGGCAACTTGGCAAGACCTCATCTCTACAATCAATCAAGAAAAATTAGCTGGGCATGGTGGCACACGCCTGTAGTTCCAGCTACTTGGAAGACTGAGGCAGAAGGATAGCCTGAGCCCAGCAGGTTGAGGCTGCGGTGGCCGTTAGCGTGCCACTGAACTCCAGCCTGGGCAACAGAGTGAGACTCCAACTCAAATAAATAAATGAAATGAAATAAATACATATTTCTTTTGAGGAGATGAGGTCTCACTCTGTTGTCCAGGCTGGTCTCAAACTCCTGAGCTCAAGTGATCCTCCTGCCTTGGCCTCCCACAGTGCTGGGATTACAGGTGTGAGCCACTGCACCTGACCTAGTTCACTACTGATATGTGATCTTGGACATCGAAGGCTGCTGTTGAATTGTATCTGTGAAAAATTCATCTACTGAAGTCTTAGCCCCCGACACACAGAATGTGACTTTATTTGAGAATGAAGTCATGGCAGATGGGCGTCATGGTAATTTATTTGAGAGTGGGGTCATGGTAATGAGTTAAATTAGGTTAGGATGAAGTCACACTGGGCACGTGATTCAAAATGACTGATGTCCTTATAGAAAGGGGAAATTTGGACACAGGAAACACACAGGGAGAGCATCATGTGAAGATAAGGGCAGAGATCAGAATGATGCTCCCACAATTCAAGGAACCCCAAAGATTGCCAGTAAGCCACCAGAAGCTGGGAGAGGCTAGGACCAAATTCTCCCTTACCTCAGAGGGATCACCCCACTGTCACCTGGGTCTTAGACTGGTAGACTCCAGAACAGTAAAATAATGCATTTCTGATGCATTAGTCCCCTGGTTTGTGGTCCTTTGTTATGGTCCCGCTAGCAAACTCATGCAGCCTACAATTTCCCACCTGGAAAGGCGGAGAGGAGATTGAATTTGATGGTCTCCTTCCAGCTCTAAGCTTTTATGACCTCTTATTTCACTATCTAAGATTCTGAGACCATTTTTTCAGGCCCTACAAACATGAATCAATATTTAACCGCATGCAGTTTTTTTGTTGTTTCTGTTTTTGTTTGTTTGTTTGTTTTTTGAGTTGGAGTCTCACTCTGTCACCCAGACTGGAGTGCAGTGGCCGCTCCCGGTCACCGCAGCCTCGACCTGCTGGGCTCCGGCGAACCTTCCGCCTCACCCTTCCAAGTAGCTGGAGCTACAGGCGTGCGCTACCACGCCCGGCTAATTTTTTGATTTATTGTAGAGATGAGGTCTCGCCAAGTTGCCCAAGCGGGTCTCGAACCCACGGGCTCAGGCAATCCTCTCACCTCAGCCTCCCAAAGTGCTGGGATTACAGGCTGAGCCACCGAGCCTGGCTTGTTTTTGTTTTTAAAGCTGGGTCCTGCAGTGGCATGATCACAGATCATGGCAGTCTCTACCTCCTGGGCTCAGGCAATCCTCCCACCTCAGCTTCCCGAGTAGTTGGGATTGTAGGCACATACCACCACGCCTGGCTGACGTTTTAGTTTTTTTGTAGAGACGACGTCTCACAAAGTGCTGGGATTACAGGCATGAGCCACCGCCTGGCTATGCATGTTTTAATCATTGCTTTTTCATGATGTTTGCACTCTTTTTTTTTTTTTTTTTTTTTTTTTTTGTTT